TCTATGATTCTATGAAATATTTGTAAATTACAGGTCACAAAAGCTTCTCCCCAGTTTATTTTGTCATAGTTTCTCATATCAGAGATCCAGTGGAAAGCTATACAGAGTTTGCTTTGAAGACTTCTTGTGATCTTAATTATAGACTGGAACAATCTTCAGATTTTGACTTAGAGTTGAACCTCACATATAGTCTGAACTTTATCTCCACTTCTGATCAGAGATACATTATTGTTATATGTCATTAAAAAACTTTTCCCCATTGATTTTAAATTGATCACAGCACCTTATCTTTTCCTGAATAGATTAAATAGACTGATCTACTTAAATCTCTTGGTGTAAGCATGTTTTCAAGATTTTATTTCCACTTGCTTATCTCAAATGGCTTTCCTATTTTGCCAATATCCTTTCTCAAGTATCGATACCAGAGGTTGGTATGTTTTTCTACAAATGTTCACATAAAGGCTATCTATTGCCTGCTTTCTGCTTCAAAATAGCTCCCTGGTTATACACAGAAATATTATATTAACTACATAACCAGCTAAATATGAGCAGGTTATCAACCATCAGCATCTGAAGTGCTTTCTAAGACACATCTTCTAGAGATTACATACATTGTTCACATTTTTGATTTTTAAATATCTAACCTTGCATTTACATGTATTAAAACAGGCATTCATGTGAGCAGCCTTTAAGGTAGTTAACCAATGCAGTACTGAATTCATACTGATAACTTACAAGAACTAACTGTAAGAAATTACATGACAGAATCACAGAATGGTTTGGGGTGGAATGGACCTTAAACATCATCTAGTTCCACCCCCCCTGCCATGGGCAGGGACACCTTCCACTAGACCAGGTTGCTCAAAGCCTCATCCAGCCTGGCCTTGAAGACAGCCAGGGATGGGGCATCCCCAGCTTCTCTGGGCAACCTGTGTCAGTGCTTCACCACCCTCTCAGTGAAGAACTTCTTCCTGATATCTAATCTAAGGCTCCCCACTTTCAATTTAAACCCGTTACCCCTTGTCCTGTCACTACAGGCCCTTGTAAAAAGTCCCCTCCCAGCTTCCTTGTAGGTCCCCTTCAGGTACTGGAAAGCTGCAATAAGGTCTCCCCGGAGCCTCCTCTTCTCCAGGCTGAGCAAGCCCAATTCTCTCAGCCTTTCATCACAGGAGAAGTGCTCCAGCCCTCTGATCATCTTCGTGGCCCTCCTCTGGACTCATGCCAACAGGTCAATGTTATGTTGGGGGCCTCAGAGCTGAACACAGTACTCTGGGTGGGGTCTCACAAGAGCAGAGTAGAGGAGGAGAATCACCTTCCTCGACCTAGCCATGGCTATGACCATTTATACCATGCCAATTTAAAATTGATATTGAAATATTAGAACATGTTAAGAAATTAGTATTTCTTAAATACTACATCTCTTTCGTAATGCATAGTATAATACAAACAGTTTAACTAGTCGTGCTTTTGTCAAGTTTACAAAGCACATGTACTGTTTAGAGGTATCGAAGCAAAGCACCAGCAACTTCCATTTACTGAAGCATGTAAGAAATTCCCAAACCTATTCTGTCTGAAAGGTTCTTGCTCACCTACCACGTATCAAGACTATCATTAAAGAGCTGTTACACTAACCTCTGCCCAAGCTTTAAGCACAGCCAGTATCTCCATAGTTGAGGTGCTTTCATTATATTGGTGACTTTGTGCTTCTTTCCCAGCCTGCACTTTCACCAAAGAGGACACAAGCAACTGATGAACCCTTCGAAGGTCATTGAGATCACTTACTACACCACTTGCTATCCAGGCACTGCATACCTAGTGTTGCAAACAGAAATAATGAGAAATGAGAGTCCAGCACCACTGGATAGTCTTTCTCCCATCAGTAAAATTATGAAAACCAGATTTAATTTCTACTGAGATACAGTTATCCTCAGTTAATGATCAATGTTAAATGACATTACAGTTTAGTACACATAAGTAATGAAAACAAAAAAACCATGAGAGGGATGTCATAAGTAACAGCCAAAGTATCAACTGCTACAAAGTTTCTCAAAATACCTTAAAGCGCATAAAATCTTTGAGTTATTATAATATACAGCTAACATGGGTGACATTATTTTGTGTGCACTGCAGATCTGAGGCTAGATGATTTTTTCTTGTGTGACATTATCAAGCAAAAAGAAATCAGCGGGTCTATTACTTCTGACTTGGGACACTTGCCTGACATGCTTCTGCTGTGACATCAGGAGGTGTTTCAGGAGCAAAGGCAGGCCTAAGTGCTGCTCCAATCTAAAGAGAAGTTATACAACATTTAATCCATCGTGAACAATTAACTAAATAATTACTTTTCACACACAGGCTTTGTTGCAGTTTTCCTTTATAAAGCATAGTTTTCATTTTTCCACAGTCTGTTTCAGTGAGGTTAAAGAGCAGTGAGAAAATTGCATTCATACTTCTGTTGTTTTGTTTTGCTTACACTGAAGACATGGTTCTCTTTGAAAGGAGTCTTCAAAGTTGATTCTATTTTTTGCAGTCTAAACCTGAAACAGAAAACTCTTCCTTCCTATACTCTTGACTTGACGAGTAGCCCTCAAAAGAAATCAGTGTTCTGAACCACGGAAGACTTGCAAGACATCTAATGAGTGACATTTACTTAGTCAGAAAGAATACAGATTTAAGGAAACAAACAGTTGAAGTTGGGCAACTTTGTAAAGTGAAAGAAAGGGAGAGCACGAACACCATTTTCCTAATGCAGAACACACAAACATACTGACCAGGTTGCAGGGAATGTAACTACTCTCACTGTTGAAAGCTATTTCACTAAAGGCTAATGAAATTTTCCCTTGCTGCTTTAGCTGATAACTGAAAACTCATACTTAAGTCGGATGCTCTTTGAGATGAAAGTACAAAGGGTAGTACAAGTACTATACAAATACAAGTTGGTGAAAATAAGTGAAAAGGAGTTGTTTTTAATGACAGTTAATGTCTTTTTTTTTTAAGACCCCTAAAGGTCAGACTTCATTTAAGGGACTTCTGAACAAGATTTCTGGAAACCATTACTTAAGCCTGGAAAATCTATATCCATCTATTTTTGGTTATCGTTATTGAAACAAAATTGTCAAGTAAAAGACAGTTTATTAAACTGCTTCACGTCTCTTCAACTGTGAAACAACTGATGAGAAGATCTATGCATAATATTAGCAGAAACACTTTAAAGGTAGTGGAGGTTAAAAGGCAAATTGTTAGCTCTACTAGTGACCTGCTTGATCGTTTTGGACAGCAAGGACAGGTGGTATATTTTTTTCCCTTGGTAGTTCCAGACTAGATCAAGATAATTCTCCTTTCCCACAAAGAAGTGCTAGTAGAATACAATTCTAACAGCAAAAGCAAGATCAAAGTGGGCTAGGATCTTTCCATTTCTACGAGACAAACTGATCTGACTTATTCAATGCTTGCTAGAAATTGAAGAATGAGAGCCAGATGAGGCTTAACACAGCTGTCTGTCATATGTAACACAAGTGCAGTCTGGGATGCAAACTGATCAGGACAAATTTTCTGTAAGTCTCAACCAAGACTTAACTGAAATAGACCTTGTGAGTATAATCCATGCTTTTACCTCCTCTAGTTTATTTATTGACAGAGAGCTCCTAGCGTGATGTCTGGTGTGCAAAGACTACTTGTTTCTAAGCAGAGTTTAAAATGGTAGTTGTTGATAATATTTCATGCAATACTTGTGTATGCTGAAACCAATGATTTCCAAAAAAACCAAACCAAAACAACAACAACAAAAAAACCCTACCACCAAATCCACCAAAACTCCAAAAACCAAAACCCACCCAATGTTCTATTTTCTTTTTGATGTATTCAAATAGAGGAGGGAAAAATGCTGAAACTTGAAAAACTTCGTGGGTAAAACATATGCCAACTGAAAAGGTGATGTCTAAGGAAGTTAAGTCCAAGAACTTAATAATAGTTTCAAGTAACAAACTAACTGAAGCCCAACTCTAGTGATATGCACTGCAAAAAGCAAATTTCTTTTAGTCATTAATCATAGAATGGTTTGGGTTGGAAGGGACCTTAAAGATCATCTAGTTCCAACTCCCCTGCCATGGGGAGGGACACCTTCCACTAGACCAGGTTGCTCAAAGCCACATCCAGCCTGGCCTTGAAGACAGCCAGGGATGGGGCATCCACAGCATCTCTGGGCAACCTGTTCCAGTGCCTCACCACCCTCTCCATGAGGAATTTCTTCCTGATATCTAATCTAAACCTCACCATTTTCAATTTAAATGTAACTCAAGCTTTTCTAAGCTATCAGCAGTGGTGCTTACATTGGCCTGATATTGCTCCAGAATTAGATGACCTGGAAACTCTGGTTCGGGAACAGCTGCAAACTTCCGAACAACAATTAGCAATGTTTGAAGCCCAGAAAGACGAAGTTGATCACTGTGGTCTGTGGCAGCCATAAAAGCCATACGGATCAAGTCAGCTAAATGTAATACCAAAAAGTCATCTGAAGAGAAAACAGAAATTAAGAATTAAAATAGTTTTATTAAATTTAGATTGAGACATAATGTATTTTATGACTGCTCCAAACATCTTCAAAATGTGTAACTTACATTTTACCTTACCATTATCAAGGATTCATTTAAGGCAGCTTATACATTCAACAATCTTATTTGGATATCTTATTTAGCTGATCTACACTTCTTTCCATTTGAATGTAAAAAAGAAAAAGTACTTAGACTAAAGCATAAACATATTTTCTTAGAAAAACTGTCTCATACATAAAAAGGTTCAAGGAACACCTCCAGATAAACATAGAGAGGTACCGAAAAATTGGCACTGTGTTTCTACTGGTAATTATGCAAATTATGGAAAGAAAAAAGTGGAATTTTTAGTCATACTCCCAGATACTAAACTGGGGCGTTGTAGGCTGGGACCAGCTATCACTTCTGATTGCCAATGCTTAGGCAGAAGCAATGGCTGCCTACTCATATGCCATGGTAATATAACCAGGAAAGTGAGTGTAAATGATGCAGTGATATGCCAGTAAATTGCTCTGCACCTTAATAAATACAGGCTTCTAATCAGAGTAATTACAGGTTTTAAAGATCACTTACAACAAATCTATGATGTATTTCATTACGATGCAAACAGCTAACATTTATTTTAAAGATATTTTGCATTCTGTGAAATACTTTCAGTTTTTAACACATACCTCTTGAATCACGTTGTTTTCTTTCCTGAGCCAAAGTTATGTCAAAATGTGTACTGCCTGCATTTTCACACTGCCTTATAATTTTACAAATACACTCTGCAGCAAAAACTCTGGTAGACCACCGTGGATTACTGAAAGGATGGAACCTCTCATCACTGTCAGATGTTAATACAGATGCATCATCCACTTTGGCAGTTTCCTCTTCTTGAGTGGTATCTACTGAAGCTACTGTATTGAAATCTGCATTTAGGACACAGGAGAAAAAAAAGAAGAAATGTAATATCCTTTCTTACTGTAACTGAAAACTACAGGACTCATAATGAAATCTCTTCAAAGTCCACCTCTAGCCTCCAACTCACTAAGACTTTCTTCAACCTTGGTGTCAAAGAAAAAGCTAGAATTAAACATACAACGTAACAAAAGTCTGCATTTTGTTGGAAGACAGTTCAATACCACGGAAGTAAATGAAGAACTGCAATGAAAGAAATTAAAGAAAAATAAACCTCTTTTAAAGAAGTGTGACACATTAGAAGGTAGTACCTTTGCTAATAAAAAAATCTAAATCCAGTACCTTCTGCACTGCAGGTAAAAAGAAAGGAAATCAACTCACCCTCCCAATATACTGCATAGTAATTAATTTTATCTGGTCAGGAGTTTCATTATGATATAGCAGTTCTGCATCATTCCTATTATTAACAGAAGAAAGGGCCTGAATATTTTTCTTGTAGGTAATGGCACAGGACCCACAAGCTCAAATGTATTCAGCATTTCCATTTCTGATATGGAAATAAGTTAACATTAGGACTATAAATGGACAAGAATATGACCCGCCAAAGACCTACCAATACGTTTACAAAAACATGTTCAATAGGGAAAAGACAACTGGGAGAAAGTCATATTCCTTTTGAAAGTTCAAGGGTCCAATGTTTCAGTATGAAGGATGATGATACACTCCATAAACATCAAACATTCAAGAAACAAGAATACTTTCCCTCAGTGACATACTGCACTGCTGCAGGCCCTATTTTCATTCTCAACTAGAGCTTATTAATACTTACCAGCTGAGGCAGCAAGAACATCTTTACAAAGCTTCAGCCAAAAAGAGAGCTTTTCAACTGCCATTGAAGTAAGCATATGAGTCAGAGTCTCTTTGATATCTTGACACAATCTTTGATCCAATTCTTTGTCCAGCAAGCCCAGTAATGCCCCCTCCAGGCCTACTTCTCTGATGTTAACATCTGCCAAGAACAAAGTCTGTGAGCTGAATGCTGTATGTCACAAAACCGCAGTTATGACCACAGAAGCTCCACCGAAGGTTGCACACAGAGTATCTTGTGAATGAGGATCTAGCCCTGAAATACTTCTGAAATAATAGTATTAATTGTTCTAATACCATATCTAAAACATCTGAGTACAAAGCAAACTTGGAACTTTCACAGAAACATACTAACAACAGGAATAGTTACTCCAGGGGTTTTAAAAAAAAAAAAAAAAAAAAGAATTCTCTCTGAATTTCACAGCATTACCATCACTACAGCAGGTGAGCTCCTGAAAAAAATACCTTTGGCCATGATTCTTCACACTGACTCATAAGGTAATTCTAAACATGTTTTAACTTGAAAACGAAGTTAAAATTATTTTCCAACAAAGCTCAAAAGCAGACACATGGAAATAATTTGTTAAATTAATAGGACCAATTTTCATTTGCCCAATATTACCAATTTAAAAAATCAGCATTTTCACAAAATGGCTATAGTCTATATTTTCTGAAAATTTCCAAGTGAGCTTGAATTGAAATCCAAAGGAAAATCATGTATTACCACCACCCCACACGGAAAGGCACATGAGGATGAACTAGGGGTCATTCTCAGGCCATTTTAGCAAAATCCCAAAACTTTAGGAAGTTAAAAATTCTAGAGACTCCATCTGATCATTACTTAACTAGTTGTCCAAAGAGTTCAACAGAAACTTTCTTCAACAAGCTTTGTACACCTTCCCTCAATGACGTATTTTTAATTTAAGAAGAGATTTATGTGGGAAAATAAAATTATGAATATGCATGTAAAATGCAGGACTATGAAGCAGTTACTACAACCGCTACCCGCTAGATAGGCTTAGGTTTCTCTGGAACTCCACTTACCTTTTCTCATTTAGTGACCCGTAATATCTATAGTATACGAAAAGCAATATTATCTTCATTTTATCACTAAGAAAGGGTTTGGATGCTTCCATAATTTGGTACTTCAGGGAACTGAAGCAGAAAACCTTTTGAGTTAAAGATTTCAAGAATGTAGCAAAGTGTTCACACCCCCAGCAGTGTGTTCAAAATTCACTATCCATGTGTCAAGCTCTGTGATTGCAAAACTTCATTACATTACCTGGAGTAAAATCTTCTCTGCTCTCTTTAACTAACGCAACAGCATATTCTGATACCTCAGCAGCTTCTCTTTGCACAAGCTGACGTAAGCAAGCTACTACTGCACGTCTCAGTAGTAAGTATGAGCTACAGAGATTCACCTGAAACATGCAAGAAGAAACAGTAAGATGGCTAACAAACCTTTACAGCAATATCTCAGTAAGGCCAGTATTTTCTAAACAATTACATTTATGACAAATTAGTGAACTCAGTAAGAATGTAATTGATGCTATTTTGTTCAGGGTTTTTATTATTTATTTTTAACCCCAAATAAAAAGTTTTGCAACTCCTGTAATAAATTTTAACATTTATCAGTACTTCTAACTTTTTCCCTCCAAAGGTAACTTACAAGACTCGTTCGGGGCCAGATCCAACTCCCACTGATATTGGTAGAAAGACCCTCATTAACCTCAATGACAGCGGAATCATGGTCTCAATGAACAATTAACTCTATTCTTTGACTACAGGGTATATATAATGGGCTTGAAAACTCAGTACAAGAGAAAATTACCCAAATCATACTCAGATGTAACTAGAGAAATGCCAGTGTAACCAAGGGTGAGACAGTCAATCAGGCTGTAGTTAATCTGAACTCCAGGCATGAAAGGAAGTTTGTAAGAAAGGGCAAAAAGAACACTGCTGCAATTTCATCACAAAAAAAAAAAAACCACACATATTCGATTACATTAAATTACATTTTAGAGGAGGTGAGAGGAAGGGTGAGAGTTATTGATGAATGTATCACACTGAGACAAGTCAGCTCTCCTGAGCAGTTTTTAGCAAAAAAGTTTATAGCATCATATTTTTAACACCACCAGACCAGTGGTTTTTTTAATACTGAAAAATACATTGTAACAAATTCATTATTGCAAGAACAAGCTAAAACACTTAAAAAACCCCAAGACCTCAAGTTTTTTTGTTACAGTGGAGCTTTCTCGGTTTTATTTGCTTTCGTTCAATTTTAAGAACATTCTGAAGGGGATCCAAAAGATAAAAAATGAATCAGCTGTATGGGCAGGCAAGATGGCTACACAAATATTTATGCAGTTTCTTTTAAATTAAGCTTAGGATATCATCAAAAAAGTTATTCTCTACAACTAAGCAATTGTGTACCCTTAGCTGTCATCATCCTTAGAACAGACAGAGCTGAGTATCTGCTGCAGGGAAGCCTTGCAGTAAGGTCATGCTTCTCATTTATCAGCAACAGGTCAATACATGTTAGTGAAAATTACTAATGTATATTAGTAACAAATAGATAAAAAGAACAACTTAAGACAAAAAGAGTGATAGAGAATATCAGCTTTGTTAAATTAAGAAACCTAAGCTTCATCTTCTGAATTTCCATGCATACACATGTACCTACAGTACTCAGAATTAAGTATTAAATGCACATAAAGATACACTCTCTGCATAATTCTTCTAAAAGAAAAGAAACCTGACTCAACAAGTATGTCTGCAAGATACTTTAATTGAAAGTTTATGTGAGGCTTTCAGTGCAACATTTATGCAAGCGGGCTACACATTCTACTGCAAGTTGGACATGCATAAATTGCGTGCTCATTTTTAATAGGGGAAAAAACAGAGGATCCAATCCAGGCTACTGAATAATGCAAGATGCACATTTTTCTTCTCTCATTCTTCCACATTCTAAGCAGGGGACAAGACTAAATAACAGACACAAAATGCAAGCACCACATAGAAACTTAAATGAACACACAGTTCCCTTCCTGCGCTTAACACGTTAAAAACAAAATTGTGCCTCACTAAGTGCATAAATGAAATGTATTACTACCATCTGCAGAAAGTTAGGAAGGGTCTGGTTAGGATGATAATCAAATGTCACTTGACATGCTAAAAGAATTTACATTAAAATGGTTAAAAGGAAAAGATAAAAGATGAAATAAAAAAACACCACTGCAAACTGCAAAAGTTTAGGATTAACAAGGCACAGGGACCTACCAACACAGAATTATCCAACAAGATTTCCTGCACAAAAACAAATGACAAACCAGTCATGACAAAACCAAAATATAGATATCACAGTGATACCAACCACACATGGAGACCATTACATGTAAAAATCAGCATATATTAAAATTCAGAATGTTATCCCAAACATACCAAACCCCTAATTTGCTTAGTTCATTTATCTTATATTTAATGTTGAACACACTTAAATTGCAAGCCAGCTGCCCCTAAAACTAGTACTTAAAAAGAGTACCAAAACAGTGCAGCATAGTTACTGACATTGTATATTTATTGTGTTTCAAAATATCTTGCATGTCTTACAGCTGAAAACTGGTGTTCACTGCATGATAAGCTTACACAGATGAGCTCTTCAGAACCCTGTGCTCACATACTTTAGCTTTAGAGCTAACATTAGACATGATTAAAAGCATGAGACTTCTCTTTCTCTGGAGCTAAGAATTTAACTGACAGGGTAAGTATTACTGTTAGATGCAAAGCCCTGTGAAAAAAGATGCAATTGACAGAAAAGGACTACTCTTAGAAGCTGAAGAAGGGAAGCTAGATAATGACAGGCACATGTACACAATTAAAAAAGAAAACAAAAATGAGCCAGTGAAGCTGTGTATTCATGGCCTGAGTCATGTTTTTTGTGCTAGCAGTCACAAATGGAACAGTCTAAATACTCTGGGGACCTGTACCATATCATGCTCTAGGGGTGGGAAGACAGGTGGAAGAGGCCACTTGCAGCTTCTCACAGCAATTGTGTTGGCATGCCTAATGCTACATTTATTTAAAAAAAAAAAGAAACAGAAAATGTCTATTTCAGAATTTTAAAAAGGCAACTTTGAAGACACGGAAATTTTCCAGAAACCTAAAGGAAAAAGGGTGGAGAGGGGAGTTGGTTCAAATGTTACTAACAAAAACCAGAACCAAACAAATGCTTTGCACATTTGTTTCCAAGCAAGGATTCACATTTCTATGGACAGAAGGAGAAAAGATCACTTATCTGACCACAGATTCTTTGCCTCTCCTGCTTTTCTGCTTTAAATAAAGAATGCACTAGTGAATATCCACAGTATCTAGTGCCCAGCTTTTGTACTCTAATTCCCTTTAAGTCTTCAAAATAGGTTGCAAAGGAGGACAGTCACATCTGTTTCTCCACTTGCAGAAATTTAAACTCATGGAGAATGACTTGCTCAGGGTCACCTTGTAAGCCAACAACAGAGTCAAGAGTAGATTTCTGGTCCAGTCCAAGTTTATTCTGCTTCCCTAGTGAGATGGTGATTTAGTGGGTAGAAACCACGTGGACAGATGTCAAGTTTTACAAATGCAGAAGTCTGCTTGTGCAATGATCTTCTCACAGACCTACAAAGTACACACTCAAACCTTCTTTGTTCATGACACTCTTGAGAAACACACTGAGGTTTACTGAACTGTCAGTATCAGCACCATTGCCCACAGTTCTGTAACAAGTTCATGAGAACAGCTGATCCACGTAAGGCCACTGACGTTGGTGGACTTCTCCCATGAAGCTCACAATCTTTTTTGGTGCAGAGGTGAACACACACACGTGCACAGATGCATGAACACACACATTCTAGCCATGAACCATGTTTATTCTTAACTATGTAATTTAATTATTATAAAATTCATAATATACTGAAATACTTTGAGACAATTTGGGAAAATAATAGAAATCAGTAATACTGTACAGACAAGACAACTGTAAGACAACATCCTCTTTATTCGTAGGTATTTGGTATTAGTTAGAGATCATACTGTACTTGGAAGCAGACTATACATGGATGTACATATGATCCCAAATCCTAATACATCCTCTGAGCAAGACAGTGTCTTATATAATTTGTTGTGATTTTATCAATGTAAGAAAAACTGTGTTTTACCCAGAGAAGAGGAAAATCATAGCTGGCTTATGTTAAAAGAAAGAACACTTCAGATGAGTTCCAGTTCTTCTGCAACTAGTATATCCATGCCTAACACAACATGGGGTTGAAAGAGCTTCTCCTGCCATTTTTCCTGGCTACCACAATCATGTTTCTAGTCAAACTGAATAAAGATAAATGGAAGGAATCTAAACTTTGTACATAATCAATACATGGCTACTATTGATATACAAGTGCTACCTATGGAAAGAGGTGAATAAGAACTATGTTAAGATTGACAAGAGAGATCAGAAAAAACCCACCATACTTTACTGTCCGGGGCTTTTTTTGTTTCTCTCTCATTTACAGGAAGACTAAGTGGTGTTATGTAAACAAAGAAACACCCCCCAGCTCCCCGCAAAAAACCCCAAACCCACCCCAAATAAACAAACCCACCACCTAGCTATCCTCTGAAAACCCACCAAGGCTAATATCTACCAGAAAAATTATTTTTGCTTTCTTCATAGCATTAAGTGCTTAGGAACACTAGCTATTCAAAGACAGACAGACTTTTGGGGGAAAAAAAACAAACAAACAAAACCCCCACCACTTTATCAAATAGGACTGAAAGACTTTGGTTTATTTTTTCGAAAGACCTAGTTTGACTATACTTATGTGTCAGAAATTTTTATACTGACTGCCAGGAAGTCAGTATACTGAAGCATTAGTGCTACAGAAATTACAAAATAGAGAAATCCACAATTTTTCTCCATGATGGGAAAAAAACCCCACAAAACACCCTAACAAAACAGTTCTCAGTAATTAGTAAACACAATTTTTTTAATCAATCCTTCACCTAAGACATAAAAAGCAGCAGAGGAAAAAATACCAGCCAACATAAAATAGCTGGTAAAAATCCAACACGAAGTTGTAATGGATGGTATACCCTGCCAGACAACTGGCCTTAGTAAAAGTAGCAGAATGCATTCTCAAGCAGTTCAGAAGGCCAAGATTTCTATATAATGTGCTCATCTTGTAAACGGGAAACAGAAACAGAGGGAAAAAAGGGAAAAAAAAGAGAATACTTGCCTGTAGGAGGGTAAGAAAAACCTCATCCTACATAACGATCAGTTTCTCTGGTTAAAGAAGTATCTGCATTTTTTAAATGTTTCTAAACAAAGTGTTTTAAAACGCAATGATATAGACTAGTAAATGTATACTCACACATAGGGAGCTTACAAGGCTAGACAGGTTGACATGTCGGGGAGCAAACATATGAAGCTGCTGCAGGCAAGAGATGGCTTGAGCCTGAACCAGGCAGTCAGGATTATCCTGCATCACCGCACAGCCCAGGAGACAGGAAGTTCTTAAGGCTGAAACTGTTGTACTGCGGCCTATATTCAGAAGAAAAAAGGTTGGTGGGTTTTTTTTTTTTTTAAACCATCAACTTTTTTTTTTCCCCAAAATGTGATAACCTGTTTTTTTCCCAAGCCACCCATAAACTCTCATCCTCTTGAGGGATACTTTCTGTCTCTGTGTTCTACTCTGATATCAATGAGTAACGGTCACATTGCTCTGTGGAAATTTCAGTGTCCAGGTATCTAAAAGTTGATTAGGTGCAAATTTCAAATGTCTGCATCCTAACTAAGGTACAGACAGACTCCTAACACTTGAAATATGAACGCCTTCTGTTTTCATGCTAAATGTAGGAATTTTCAAGCCCAAGGCAAGGCTTTGAGAACCCGTTCAAACAAAGGAAAAGATATTAAAAAAGACACTATTTTTTGAAAACTAGCAGTCATGTCACCTTGATGACATAAACTCATAGCCTATGAAATACTGTCTTACAAGGAAGAAAACTTAGCATGCATTTATTTGTTGATAAAATTTGAATTACACATACAAAAGCTGACACAATTGTATATTGCCTACCTTGCAACTCAGGGCCCAGCATGGTAATAAGTGCATTTAAACAGCGACCAAGGCTTTGGTGAACTTCAGCGTAAGCAGGATGCACAGTCAACAACAACATGAGAACAAGAGACAAGGTAGGTTCCACATGCACATGATACAAGGGGCCAGCTAAATCTACTATCAGTGATAGAGAATGTAGTGCCCATGCCTGTAAAATAAGAGAAGCTGTCATGTAACATCTGTATGATAGAATAAACATAACATTTTTAAAAAATTTGATAGTTCAAGTGAAGATCAGTAATTAAGCGTAATAAAAGTTGCACTTTTAGGTTTCAAAGGGACAAATCGAGAGGTTAGAGAAAAAACCTGATGCTTAATAAGCGATTTTGAATATTTTACAAGGAACTGTATGTTCTGCAGTGAAAGAACTGCTTTAAATTTGTCCCTATTAATTAAAAAAAAAAGTCAAATAGTAAAATAATTTCAGAGTGATTATAATTCCTCAAATACATTTTACACTTTGTAGAATTTCTTATAGTTCCATGTGCAAGAACAAGAGAATTATGAAAAAACACTACAACAGAGTTGCTGAAACAATACATTGTTTTAGTCTCATTTACTTTGCATCAAAAGCCACATCTGTTTCATGTCAGCATACAGTTCTCTGTGTAGAGATATTGTAGATAAAGCTTTAAATAATTCTTTAACTGAGATTTGCATAATTACACGGAATACACTCAATGTCTCTTAAATCTGTTCTGATAGGTAACAGTTTTGGCCACAGACAATTTTAATTAATCTTCAAAATATTGCCTTATTCAAGGAAGTATACTGACCAAATTCTACAGCATTCATGCTACAACTCCCTGTTATTTACCACATAACCCTTCAACAAAAAATGCTGTGAGGTAAACATGGAAACAGACCCAGAAACTGATACAAGCAACAAAAATTTAGGTACAATCTAGTCAAGGTCAAGATATAGCTGAACATGAAAGTAATCAGTTCTTAAAACATCAGATACTGGTTTTGAAGCCAGCATTTCTTAGCCTTATCAGCCTCACTGATTATTCAGTAAGAACCTCCCATATCTCATAATTCTTGCTTGGAAGCTGGATTTCAAGCAGGAGCTATGGTTTTCATTGCCTGTGAGATATGCTTAAGAGGTTGTGAAGTATTACTCTTACAAGAAAAGACTTATATTCCAGAACATACACCAGTTAATTGATAACACAACATTTGACATTTAACAAGTACCTGGACATCAGGAGAAGTACTGTCCTGAGATAAAGTATAAAGGATTCCAACACATGCATTCAGGTGCTGAGTAGAACCTATTCCTCCTAGGTACCTATACAGACATCCCAGAGCCAAAGAATGACCTGTTCTTGATACCACATCCCTAGCAGATTTTAGCCTATTAATTATAAGGAAAGAATGCTGTTACTATAATCACCAAGACTGATACTATATAATAAGCACATCTACAAATGGAATTTCTAGTACATAATCAGCAAAATATTTTATTACACACTGTCATATTGCCAAAATTCTAAGTTCATTTATTATCTCATATCTGAATGAAGTACCAAAAATATTTTAAGTATACTTAAATGATGCTGCTAGAACAGCAGCCAATTTAATTTACTTGAAAACTGACATACTTATTTAGACAATCTTCTTAAAGACCAGCAAAACTAAGAAATACATGCAGAAGCCAGGCGGTGCATTTTCCTGGTAATTTCTGAAGTGACATCAAGTTCATGAAGGAAACCAGATTTTAAAAGTTATCATCATAATAGGAAGGGGGTAGATTTCTCAAACTTTTTTATAAACTCCACCAGTAACTTACCACACTTCTTTTTAACCTACTTGTCAAAACTGACTTGTGCTAATCCAGCAGTGAAGGCACTGTCAGAAACCACCTGTGCCAACCTGGCCAAACACTCTGCAGCAGCACATCTTAGGAGTGGATTATTGCTTTCCAAGGCACCCATTACCAATGCCAGGGCAGACCTTCTAACTTCTTCTGGACCTAAACTTCCCTTGCAGTTAGCCAAGTGCTAAAAATAGATATCAAATGTATTAAACAGCGAGACAGTATAGTAATCAAAATGTGTTTTTCTGTCAGTCATGCACAAATTACAAGACCTACAGGAGGGATTTGATTTTTTCTTCCCTTTTATCTAAGGAATTCCTCTATTTTTATGTGCTGTTCTATGGGTTAGAAGTCTAACTTCAGATAAGCGTGCATCACAGCACATTATACTATCAACGTTCTGATTTTAAGAAATACTGGATAGATTGCAGTAGAATACAATAAACCAGCACACTAGCATAAAATTCAGGAAATAGTATCATGAAAAGAGTGAAAACAGAATAATGACAGAACAAAAAATCCCAGTCAAAAAAAAAAAAAAAAAAAAAAGAGAAGAGTATATGAGGAGAAGCTACAGCAGTTTTCTGGACTGCATATTAAATATGCCCCGAATACAAATATTATACAATGAAAGGCTTTGCCTATTCTGAAAGCATTTTGCCTTGGTTTGAAGAAAGCCTAAGAAGGGAAGAACAAAACCTGCACATGAACAGAGGAAAATACAAATAAAGCAAGAGGAAAAATTAACAAATGGCAGTTATAAGATTACTTTGTTTTACCAATCCTTTTTTATTTATACAGAAAGAAATATGAAACAGTGATAAAGACAGAAATTATACCAACAGAATTTTTCCATCTCTCTCTCCTATTTGAATTGCACTAGTATGGATGATAGTGTACTACAGTGTCCTCGAATGGATTCCCCTAAGCCTTTATCATTAAAAAAACACCAACTAAAACAGTAACTCTTTGGTACTTAACAAAATGGTAATGTCAAAAAAAAAAAAATCTATTATTATAGAAAACAGGACTGATCTTCACCTTGACTGTTAATCAAAATAGGAACTTTTGTGTACACACATTTGAACTACCAGATGCCATGTTTTATTATTAGAGAGGGAAACAAAGGAGGGAAACAAAGGAACAAAAAAATACCTTTAAGGAAGTAGAAAAGGCTGACACAACATTTAGTTGTACTATTTGCTGCCGTGATCCTTTTGTTTGCTTTATGGAATTCAAAAACTGTTCTAACACCTGGAGCCTTAAACAAAACCAGAAAAGAAACCTCAGAATTAAAAATTAAGGACATAAGTCAAGCTTTTTTATTTTATTTTAAAACACATAACAAAGCCTATATAGCACAGAAACAGAGATGGAACAAATCTATTACCTTGACTCTTGAGCATTTTTCTTCAACTGACATCCTGTCTACTACAAAAAAATTTTGTATGCTACATTAGGTAATTACTCCATGAATATGAACTTTTTGCCCTTGCTTCCTTATAACATGTATTCACAGATAGTGATTTCTATCCAAGTAACATTAAACTGATGTTATTAAAAGGAACTGTGCACGGGTATGATGCATTTTGACGTATAACTGAGAAAGAAGGAGGGAAAAGAAAAAGAAAAGGAAAATGCAGTGATCTGTATCAATTATTTCAGGTCCTGAGAAACAGGTGAAGAAAACCAACCAACCAGCTGGTGACAGTAGGGGCAAAAAGCCCAGACAAAGAGAAAAAACCCCCCACAAAAAGAAAAAATGCAGTCAGTGAAGACAGAATAAGGAAGGAAATGCAAGTCAGGAGAACATATCATAAGCATGTGGCAATTTTATTGGCAAGTATGCTCATACATGAGTAACTGCCTCGGGATTACATTAAATCCCAAGGATTTCAAGCAGTGAAGACATCAAGATCCAGGTCTCACATGCTAAGCACTTTCCTCACAGGAAATTACAAAACCGTCTTCACCTATAATGATATGATCCGAGTTCTAACTACAGTTGGCTTTGAAAATATAAATCTGTTTATTTTAAAAATAATTGATTTTCTCTAACACTACATTCAAGAAAATTACCAGCAGCACCCAGAATAAGAATCAGCATGCAAAAATCTGGAGGAATTTCATGCCTCAGCAATTGGTGCACTTATAAACGTGAAACAAACCAAAATGCCATGTGTGTGGTACGAAGATACATACACACACACAAAACCAAGAGAAGTCCGATTCCTTTCAAGCATTCTTGTACCTTGACAGAACTGTGTTAAGACATACACTCTTGGTTTTTGACACCCACTTTTTACAAAGAATGAGGCAGGGTTAAATTTTACTACAGCTTCCAACCCTTTTGTCCTAAGGCATTTAATAATTATGTATTAAGCACTATAGTAATTATGAAGATTGCTTAAAATAACTTCTATTTTGATCTGACTATTGAAACAAAATATTATTTTTCTTGGTCAACAAAATTTATAATGACAGTAACCTTTTACTGGATTTGCCTTTTTGCTCTGAGTAACTTTAAACAGAAGGTCTAATAATTTCTTAATCTCAATCATGTTATTCAGATGGTTTACAGAATCCACTTATACAATTCATTATTTTTCCAGAATTGTTTTCTTCTGTGTCCAGTCTTAAACACTCTGATATCTCTGAGCATCTCCCAAATTCCCCAGCAGTTACAGTTACTACTTTACCTGTGAGATTCTGCTACATGGGAAAACATAACTCCAAAAAGACGAGTTGCCGCACTGATAACACACAATACAGGAGGTAGTGGTTTAGGTACTGAATCACCTTTTGCAACTTTCTCATAAATTGAGTAAGGGTCATACTCCAGGCTGCCGCCAGCTATGCTGTTACCTAAAAGGAGCTGTAAGAAGGAAAAAGTTATAGCCATATTTTGGACCAAGTCCAAATCAACACTGACCCAAATAACTAGAACTATATGAAAATATAGTATCACCACTATACTAGATTAAAAAGTACCTGTTCCTCGATAAATCGGTGGTCAGTCTCCTGCAGTAAGGGACCAAGTAAAAGGACATCATTCTCATGACAAAGGGGTGGAAGTAAGAATGTAGAGGCATCGATCTGGCTATCTGGGACAGTCAAGTCAGCCAGTAACTCTTTTAGAACAGCACAGAAACTTCCTTTAAATAAAAAAAAATTAAAAATTAAAAAACAAACCAATCAACCCCCCAAAAAAACCAAAACCCTTTTGATTAATTACTTGTCATAAGCAACTTTGGGAGCAAGATATTTATACTAGAATAGTAACATCCATCTAACATTTTTTCTAAAGGCTTCAAATAGTTAATTGGAGAACACTCTTGCTACAGGGAAACAGCAGAGCACTGCTTAAGATAAGCAAACTAAGCAAATACAGCAATCTAGAAGCTGACAAACAGAAACCTTTACAGAAGGCATAATGCCATACAACTGCTAATCCAATAGATAGTTTCATTTACAACTGAAGTAGAGGAAAAAAAGCAGTTACAAGCACAGACAGATTTCTACTACAAATTTCCTGAGAATTAATGGTGTGGAATGTATCACACAACCGTGCAAGAATATTTGGACATGGCAAGCAGATGTAATTTAAAATAAGTTTGATAAATAACAAAAGCTGTAGAATGTACTCCTCTGTTTCAGGATTTTTACTGAAAAAGCAAGCATGAGGAATTTACTGTAGTTTACTTCATGATAATTGACACTGGGAGTTAAAACTTTCACATATTTTTGTACATAATATTTCAGACAAGATTGTGCATTATACATAAACAACATTAGGCATTCTGAGTCAGACTGGTTTAAGTTATTAAAATAATCCCTGCAATGAGAGGCATTTCCAGTGCTGAACTATGTGATGAAAAACATCCGGCTTATCAGATAAGTTAGTTGCGTTGAAAAACACTGCAGAACTTATCTTAAAGAATATACACACTTTTTATGTAAGTATTACATAAGAATTTACCTCCAGAGCATTAAGATTGCAAAGTAAAGTCCTCATGCACTGGGAAATACCAGCATTAAGGGCGGCTTAACCCCACACATCCAGTTCTTTGCATTCAGTTTTGTTATTAGATGATCACACTGCAAACTTTACCTGTTTGCAGTAAAGTTGCTTATAATCTTTCAACACACAGAAGTTCCAAAAAGTGGGACAACACAATTGTCAGTGCCTCATAAGCACAAACAGAACCATTTGTATAGCTGAAGCTGGTAGCTGCAACCAGCTATTTTGCCCTTCCTGAATCCTGAATCTGTTCTGAGAATGCAGACTTCCTCCCCTCTACCCACCCAAACTCCTGTCCCCATTAGCCTCTCTCCCCTGCAAGCATCTGTTGCTTTGCTTGCCTCCCTGACTAATTAGCAAGCATGTACTTTCTCCAAAAATGCTTAACTCAAATCTAAATGCAAAAGGTTAGCACTGGCAAATATATTCCAAGATGCACAGACTGTGTGAAAGGGACAAAGACTAAGCCTTTTTAAAACAGGCAGTAATTAGAAACAATGACAAGAAATTGCTCTTTCATTAATTAGTATAGGTGACAATAAAACAAACAAAATACTGAAAATCCCCTTTCTACGAAAACAGATTTTTCCAATAAAATTTAATGGAGATACTCAGCAATTTTTGACCAAATTAACAATTATTTTAGTCCCAGACACTTGGCCATCCTCAATGTGTCAAATAATATTATGCCCATGTACAGCAGTTCTAAATTTTGAGCCAGAATGCTAGCTATTCATCTCATCCTATTGATAAAGAGAAGCGAATGCTTGTATTGAATTTTATGGTTTAGACAGTGGAATATAACAAGCACAAAAAGCTGAAGAATGAAAAGAACCCTAATGAATTGTCTGACAAAACACACTAATTTCAGACCACAGAAAACATCAACAAATCTAACAATCAAAATTCAAACTACTGAAATTATTTGTGTGAAATTATTGAATTGGATATCATAATAATTAAAATGTTTATATTATCTGACAGGAAAGAAATGTTTTAGCCTGAAAAATTTGAGTGCATCAGCATCCGAAACTAATGACATGTGAAAAACATCAAGAATATAATTCATCTTAGAACCTGCTTTAGCTAGCTTAAAAAGTTCATACTTTGCATCAGCTAAATTGCAAAGTCTTAACTGTTCACACATAATGGATGTTCACAACTGGAACACGTTAAATGTTTTCCACTGATGTTCAAGTTAACCTAATACATTCTTCTCCTATCTGTCATTGCTGAAACAATGCAAAAATCATCTACTAATCATGCACACTCACAGTAAGCTTTCATAATTCTGTTTGAGCAGATACTGATTTTTATTGATGACAGAAAGCAATGAGAGAAACATCAGAGAGGAAGTAAGAGAGCAGGACAGGACCAAGTGGAGCCTAAACAAGTCCTAGTATCTCTGGCCTCAGAAATCAAAAGGTTGAGAAAGAGGCTTGGAACTATGAGTAAAGAATTTGTTTACAATTTTTTTCCCTGGGTATTTTGTTTTGTTCCTCTTCTGCTAAAGAAAAAAAGCTTTGCACATTATTTGCAAATACTAAAACCTTGAGTTACAACTCCTAGTATATGTCCACATGACCAATTTTCTGAAAAAGACACAACTTGCATGTTTTTAGCCTCTGGCTAACTACCCAGATTGAAGAAAATGAAAAGAAAATAAATAAAAGCATGAACTGGTGAAAGATTCTCATTCAGGGTGTCACTCTGAGCCATGCAAAATATGCCAGACTGTGTAACACAAAAGTACACCTACTTCCTAGTGACAATGACTAAAACTAAACACTGAAAAAAAGCACCCTGGGTTCCATAATCATACTGTTTTCCCAAATAACTTATTTTAAAAAATCTTAGGATTTGTAAAGACATACCATTTCTGTATGAAGCTTTCATACTGAAAATAATATGGGAAGAAAGGTATTTGTTTCAAGCTTTACCTTGAAAACTTTTTTGGCATTTCTGAACGATGCACATTCACATGTTAAAATATGTAACAAACTCTGAAAATAAGCTCTGGCAATATATGCATCTCCATTCTTTCCCCAGTCTCATACTGTTGTATTATAAACTCTGAGACTACATCTGTCAAACTACTGTTTTGGTTCTAAGGCTATTTACAAACTTTTCAGCAGCGTGACTACTTATTTATACAAACCTTTTAAGCTTTTTATGTATCTACTGGTTCTAGATTGCAGCATCCTCAGCTAGGATGCTCTCTCACAGGATTCAGACTTTACAGGTCACAATGTAAAATGCCATCCATTTTTCAATAAAGCTAAACCATATGCAAAACAAACTAAGCAATCACCAAAACCACCTATACCCAATTATTCATATTCTATTAAACATTGTCCCTGTAATAAAATAACCAAAGAAATAACTTGCTCTAAGGGATGGAGGTGTAATTTTCAGTCTTTTAAGTCCAAGTCACAAATTAGTATTATACACTATGCTTCGAGTGTTACATACAGACTCCTAATGCGACAACAGCTTTAAGGAAAACGTCAGAGAATTGTCCTTATGCAGATTCACCGCAGTTACCACTAGATGGAGCAGATTGAGTAAGGATTCCCTCCATGATACAGAGGACCCAGCCAATTCAGTGGCTGGCTGGCCCATATTCTCTCTGTGCTGATGAAATACCCTGTACTTCTCTTCACAGCTGTTATTTCAGTCCATACAGTACTCAATGGCAAACTGTATTCAAATGAAAATTTAAAGACGACAAAAAAATTTCATGTTTTAGACCGGTCTAACTAGAGTGCATAGTTACTGGATTAGAGGATTAGATTTTAAATACTATTTGTTATACTCTGCTACAGAAAAGTGAGCCTATCCCCAGATTTTTTTGAAACTTTTCTTTAAATACAAATTTTTTATCCACAATCTGCAGAGAACCAGATTAATATGCAATATGTAAATTTTACATATTTGTAAATATGTAAATCTACCTAAAGCAATTAAAATTAAATTCTTTTAATGTACTATATTCAATTGGTTTATACTAAAATTATAACTTCTGAATTTAGGATTCAATGCCAAGTAAAACAGGTGAAGAAAGTCAGTTCTTCAAGTATAAAACTGCAAGGTTGTCTACCTTCAGGTTTCAACTAAAAATAGGTCCAAGTCTGTATTTGTAATTGGAGAAGGGGAAGAAAATTAATAACAGGAACACCAGCTTTTCAAAACCATAGTGACTTCACTACAATTTCATCAAATCTCAGAGGGAATAAAATTTGTTCATTAGAAAAGGTAGAACTAATTCTTGCCAGCTGAATATATGTTGAACAAGAACTTAAAAATGAGCCCATAGTGTTTTTAACAGATATTTATCTGTAAGAAAATACGTACCTTCATAGGTCTTTGGAGGCAATACTGCTAGTAGTTCATAAAGTTTATGTCTGTAAACCATTGATGATGTTTTTAAAGCATTTCCATATGATTTATATATTGAAGAAAGCCTTAGAAGATTAAAAGCACATCAGAAAAGTTAGACTTTAAGCATTATGCAACACTCCAGTTTCCTTTGCACCACTCTACTGAATACTTTCAAAATCCGTACATAAGTACAGTTTTGATTTGCATCACCAATAGTAGAAGCAAACCTATTTATTTCACGTTCTGACAGAATCTCTCCATACTCCATTCCCAGTCATTGCTTTTATTTAATACTAGAGAAATAAATAAGGCATTCTAATGTCTTTAACTGTAATAAAAAAGGTACAATCAAAGTTTTTGTAGATGTATCTCTGTAAATTCATTTTTAGAGTCCAAATAAATTAAATCACTACATATTCTGAAGGCAAAAATTTAAAAATTATAAAGAACCCTTTCCAGCTTAGCACTGAATCTAAATATAAAAATGCCCATCTTTAAAACATTTTGTATTTTGAAAATAAAGTTCTTTAGAAAGTGCACTAAATCAAATACAAGAAGATTACTCTGTAGCTTTCCAAAACCAGAATCTCATTTAACAATTTGATACACACACTTACTGTGTCAACAAATCAACAGCACTTGGGAGAGGAGGAAGAAGTCTCTGAACAACTTCATCCGTAAGAAGACCAGCACAGTGGGAAACAAAGCTTTTGATAGCTAGAAAAGGAAGTGGATTTTAACTTACTAAGTGTGAGATATCTAGAAGAAAAAAATCACATTAGTGAAGCAATCACATTATTACCTCACTAGTAATTTAAAAGTGGAAGAAAGCGTGCAAAAGTTTTTCAAGTATTTTGAGCAAAAATTTAAGAAACTGACAAAAAATCTTGAATAAAGAAAGTCATATTTACAGATGCACTGGTGTCTCAGCTTGGGCATTCATACTCTGAGTTTTAATTGCTCATATAAATGCAAACTTTTTTTGCTTTTTCTTCTGAATTGAGTTATGGGATGTAACTCCATGATAATTAGAAAAAAAGAAAACAAAAAATAGGGGGATGATGATCAGCTTACTTTGCTGTTTTTCTATTTAAATTTAGCCTAATTACCTTAAGAAACAACCTATATGTACACAATTTTTTTTTCATTATTTAGAGAAAATTAAACTTGAGTTAGTAGCTCAAAAAGCAAATAGGAAAAGAAAATATTTAAAGGTTAATTGTTTAGGTTACTTTTTTAATGAAATTACTATTGAATGCCACACTTTCCAATAGATTTTAATAAAGAAGGGTGTGATCGCTATACTAGGGTTCACATTTCTGCAAAGGACCTTTTAATACTCTAGAACACATGACTGAAACACATTAAGTACTTGAAGATCACTGGAGTCACCTCTTGGAAACCCAAATTCACAGTATTTCATGATGAAAAATTGCAACCTACCAGTAAGCAGCCAAATACATCATACTCTTTACTGGCTGAGAATTGCAACTTCCTTATCATAATTTTTACCAGAGTCTCAGATGTGCCTGACTCACCAATCCTATTTCGCTTATGGTCAGTCAGCTATTAGGAAACAGAACTGCTATTTACCAAATATAATAGACTGTATAAACAATAGAACATACCCTGGTTTGGGTCCTCACTTGTTACTGTGATACGTATGTTAAACAAGAGAAGAGAAGCAACCTTCCTGATATAATTTACTATTTGGAAATCAACTGACTAGAAGAACACAAGAAAAACCCTTTTGGGTTTATGTTTGGTTTTTTTACAAAGATAAAACACATGTATATAAATATATATATATACAAGCATGTATGTTGTGAATACATCCTTTGCCATTCAGTGAAAAAAACTATATAAAGTTTCATTGCTCTTTCAGAAGGAAGAAAAAACTAACAGCCAAACTATAATATGCAGAGAAAGACACAGTAAATCCCGCTTACCACAGAGAGCACCAGCACGACCTTCTAGTGTTACTTGCCAGGTAAAAGAATCTCCTCGAGTCTTCTCTATTTCTAAGTCTTTTGGAGATGATGGAAAGATGCACTTCCACAGTAACAACATTCGCGGCAGATGGTGTTGGACAACTGCAGGACCTGTAAGTGTTGACAGTTGTCATGCCAATGTAACAATTAATAAAACTAAATTTTCACTTTGGTTCTTTTATCTATGTTCAAAAAATCATTACAGATATAAACAAATAATGAAGATACTTTCCCAAACATCTCATATATCATTTCTCAAATGTTTACTGCCCTGGTACTTCATGTCCACACATAACTACATACCCACTGACACATTTACAAATATGTCACCAAGACAACTACAATCTGTTTTACTAAGTACAGACCCTGTGGATCACCAGCATAAAAGAGATGTCATAAGCAATAGTGATGCTCAGAAAAGCAAACATTTGATATAGATTAGTACAAGGTGTGTTTTTCCTAATCTAAAAAAAAAAAAGAAAAAAAAAGGGAGTTGTTGGACAGAAGTAATAGCTGAAAACATGAAAGGTGCCTTAAGAAAACGAACAAAACAAAACACATTCTACATGAGTAGTTTAGTGATCACAATCAATAATCTGACCACTGTTTAATATCAGAAAGTTCTCTAAGATTTAAATGCCTGACAATAAGGAAATACAAATTATTAGCTCATTTCGTTCTGGGTTAGATCTTAAAAAATATCAGTGCAATTCTTCATGAGCACAAAGAGATTTGGTTAGATTGACTTCGAAATTTATCTTCTATATTTAATTAATAGCAGTTGCACCCAGTCACTGTTTTTCAGATATTGCTCCAAAAGAACTAATAGCAAATCTGGAAAAAAATTTTATTTTAGAAAGTTTTTCTAAAGATTTTGATTTATATTGATTTCAAAGAATTATTTTGCAGTGCTAGATTAAATGAATTGTCAAAAGAACCTTGAGAAAGAACACAGAACAGCTTATTTTAGTTTAAGAAAAATTGTAGAAAGCTACTACCTAATGTCATGAGGGCCGATATCAACAGCCATCCAGCCTGTGTTCGCTGCAGTGAAATGCGACTGTTCTGAGAAGCGGAACACAACAAATCCTCTGCTACTGTCATGATTACCTTTGAAGTTAAAGAGAAAAACAGAGCATCAGCATCTTAGTTTTGAAAAATCATTTGGTAGTTACTGTTTGCTGTGATACTTAATCCTATTTTAGTGTTCCCAAACAAAACACCATCTTCTCACACTATAGCAAGGAACTCGGGTTCATGAAGTTGCAATGACTGATTTCAGTACTAGTCTGGGATGGCTTCAACAGTTTCTGTAGGGTACCAGGTAAGTTACTTTGCTGCTCTGTCCCCTTCTTTTATCAGCATTAAAATGGGAGCTGATAGTTCTCACAAGAATATGTATGCCAAGAATATGTGTTCTGATATTCTGTTGATGCTGTTATGTAGAAAAAGGATAACACAAGACCTATGAATTAGAGCTCAGAGGTGGTAAAAGGGGTAATGATTTTTTTAATCCCTGTTTTAGAATAAGGTCTGTCATTCTCTCTGACAGTTTGTAATCAAAAAATGGTATGACTAAACAAACAAGTTAGGATTAATCCTAACTGCACCATACCATTCTATCTTAGCTTCTCCACAACAATTGCATGTGCCTACTATTAAGTGCTAAATGCAAGCTGACAATCTGCGCTTGTTACTGAAGTCTGAGCTACCTAGAATTTACATGGAGGAAAACAGGGTGTCCATGGACAATTACCACAGTATGGCTACAACTTCAGAACATATTCTGAAAATGGCTTGCTGCAGTTACATTTCACATAGACCAAAAAAGTGTTTCTTACACCTTGCATTATGTCTGGTTACCAAAACAAACTGCGTGTAAATTAGTATTAAAAAGAAGTATCATTATTAGTATCACTAAAGCACCAGTGTAGCCAATATCCTTCTATAATTTTTTTTTGCACACTATAACTTAATTGGACAGTATAGCAACCTTCTATAATTTATTTGAAAAATGATAAAACTTCATGAATATTTCCATATAAAAGTTTGCTTCATGGAAGTTTGAAATTTTTTCTTTTCAAAACTTAATGAATATCCAAAGTCTGAAAATACTAGTTTCCCCAATTCCATAATGCTATCAGACAGCTGCAAATGAAGACATATTTTGATAGATTCTTTAAAACTTAATTCTAAAATGAAAATGGCACCCTTGTTAAATTATACTATTAAAAATTACTAACATCTTAGTATACTTAACCTGATAAACAAGCATCCTAGAAAGATTTTAATTTAATGCTATCTGAGAACTTTCCTCTTTATGTACTAAGAGAAATCTCTTATTTTTGAAGGGTTTTTTTTAACTGAAGTGTAAGCACTCCTATGGAATGCTAAATCTATACAAGCCCACTAATTACTTTGTTCTCTTGAACAGGTTCCACCTGCAACCCTAACCACTCACTCAAAGGAAAATGAGTCAATACAAAACATCTTCTGTGCAGGTCACTACTCTCTGCATTTGGTTTTTCCTTTTCAGAACTGCTCTATTTAACACTGGTCTCTTTCAGCTCCTCAGAAGAGGAGATAGACTGGAATCTGGCAGCATTCCTAGGAGGGACTGGAAAAGGGCTTTTGTCAATTTCTCTGTTCTCCCCACCAGCTTAGTACAGAATACACTGTTTCTCCCACACTTTGTGTGCCCTCCCATACCTCCTCCTGGACCTGTTTTATCCTATTCTATTCCTCTTAAAAAAAAAAAAAAAAAAATCTTTAAGAAGTATGTTTCTGTTAAACAGAAACTTCAACTTGGCTTAGGTGTATAGTGTGAATGCGTAGAATGCCAATTTTTATCTCTATACATGGGCAAATGACACTCATTATGATCTCTTACCACGGTCTTCCAGCAATTGCGAAGAAAAGTCTTTAAAAGCTAAGAAAAAACGGTGCTGTTGGGGGGGTGTTTTTTTGTTTGTTTGTTTTTACATTTATAAACGGTTTCATCATCAGCTGGGACTTAGAATGCTGAGAACTGTGGCTAGCAATGTCTGTTGAGGACAGGTGATCAACTGTTAGTACTCAACAATGCTGAAAGGGTGGGCTGGAATCACTGCAAGGGACATTTTCCCTAAGGTACTAAAGCATTCCTTTCATCTTACAGTGGTGTAATAGCAAAAAACCCACACCCCAATCCTTCTGTCGGAGTGTGCCACTTTTTCCGTAATGTCTTCCACTGGCTCTGAAACAGGTTTTTTCCAGAACAGAGAATGTAAGTTTCCACATTATGCAGAGAATTAGCATGTACTGCTGATATTTGTGTTGCACCATGGTTTTCCAACTGTAACTCAATGGATAATGTTCTCATTAAGATAGAAATAGCTTCTTCTCCTGGTCTGTACTTCTACATCTGCATATTCCTAAAAATTCAGAGCACAGTATATCTTGTCTGCACTAGAGGAGAAATAGGTTCAAGCATCTTAGACTACGTTAATGCAAGAAACTGGTTCCTGTTAAATTCTGTAAAACAAATGAAAGTATGTACCTGCTGGACTTAATTAAAGGTTTTATTGGACTTGACCAAAGATTTTCAAGATAATACATAATTGCTGTTATTGGTGTAATCACTGACTAAACTGTATGCTAGAGAGTCATTGATGGGCCTGAGAAATACTAATTTGGCTTAATCTGTGCTTGAACCAGTTTCCTTCCAGGAAACTTATTTCTAGCATGCAACAGATCTGTATCATTTGTTTTTTGTTTTGGTTTTTTTTTTTTAATAAAAGAAAGATCCTGGTTTAGATCCCTTGCAACCTAAACCATTGGTGTTCCTCAGGGGTCGGTGCTG